CCCTACATGGAAATAATCTCCATACATGTGAAAAAAATCAAGCTGCCATCTGTACTAATTACATAAAAACCACTGCTGCTGCAATTAACCATGACTGCGGTCATATGTGCCATTTGACACAGAGGGGAAGCGCCCCTATTACCTCTGGTGGAATTTGACTCACAGTCACATGAGCACACATCCCTTGTGCTGCGGACTCTGCCTGCCACTGAGTGATCAGACGCCATGTTCGAGTTTTTTTGCCCTTTGTTTCCCATGCGCATAAATGAGGAATCGAACCCCCGCACGGAGGATTCTCCATGGAGTATGCGGTTATGCAAATACTACTAAGTGAGGGGGGGAGGCACCAAGTCAGGATGGAACGGGCAGACCATCCCAACGGTTTGAGTGTGTACTTGAGCGATCAGACAGGGGAAAGTCCATCCGTTGCGCATCGGCAAGCATTAGGACCAGACTTTCCCCGGTGTCTTTTAACTCCGCTTCTGTGGCGGGGCAGCACGGGGTGCTGATGGCTATGGGACCTTTCTGAGATGTTGCTGTCTGCTCGTGCCCTTTAGATCTGTCAGGCATTCACATCTGAGTCAGATCTAAAGGCACGTCTGACTGCAGCCTATGTTTGGAAGCTGGAGCACAGTTGTCACACTGGACGGTGTACACGCGTGGATTTTTTCCTTTATAAGAAAGTTATTTCCATGTAGAAAAAATGTAATGTGCCCTGAATCAAAGGAGTCTGAAAAGCACAGGGTCTCTCCTCTGTCAAAATGAGTTGGATTCAGTTCCCCCCTCTCACTGTGAAGAATTTTCCTTCAGTGCAGGGACTTCTTTCTCCACTCGTAAATTACTTACTTATCCGTAGAGAAATATTGGATCCAAACCATTGTGTTCCATTTTTTTCACTATTCTGATTGAAATATAGTTGAAATACAAATGAGCACAAAAAGAGCCCTGCTGGGTCTGATTAAAGTTACATCTAGGCAAATGTTCCATTTCTAATGGTAGGGACTTCCAAACCAGGAAGGTGAAGGCAAGAGTTCATTCTCCTTGTTGTCCCTAATATCTGGTGGGCTGAGGTATGCTACTTCTGAACATGGAGGTTCTACTCAGCTATCACAGCAAATAGGCATGGCCAATGTGATTTGATAGTACATATACAATTAATAACACATGTGTTTTGCAAAAAAGAGCCTTCTTTAAAAGATCTCTTATTTGGCAATGCTGAATAATCATCTGTTAATTTCTTGATAACATTGACCAGCATTAACCTCTTGGTGATGAAATACTTCTAAAATATACTGTGTGATTCTTTCGGCCTTTCTTTCTTTTATTAGGTCAGCAAGTTGGAGAGAGAAAAAAATCAGGAAGTTAAGCAGATCAAAGAACACGAACTGCATAAAAACATAGTGATTGTAACAGAACTCAAGGCTAAACTTCATGAAGAAAAAATGAAGGAGCTCCAGGCTGTTAGAGAAGGACTTTTAAGACAGCATGAAGCCGAGCTCCTAAGAGTCATAAAAATTAAAGATAATGAAATCCAGAGACTACAGGCCTTACTAACTACTGTGCGGGATGGGACACCCGATAAGGTTAAGACAGCACTTTTCTCTGAAGCAAAAGAGGAGGCCAAGAAAGGATTTGAAGTGGAGAAAACCAAAATGCAACAAGAAATTTCAGAGCTCAAGGGAGCTAAAAGACAAGTGGAAGAAGCTTTATCTGTGGCCATTCACGCTGACAAAATTAAAGCAGCAGAGATACGGAGTGTGTATCACCTACACCAGGAAGAAATCACCCGAATAAAGCGAGAATGTGAGCGGGAAATTCGCAGGCTGGTATGTGTGGCTATCAATAGTTCTGGTGGTTGGGGGGGGGGATCTCATATCTGTGCTTGTGCTGAAAACAGTTTAAAATACACATGACAAAGGGTCCTGCTTTCAGACGACTTAATCTGGGCAGAATCTCTGATCCTTCTGAGGTTCGCTCAGCACTAATGAAAATGTTGGTGATGAGTTTATCTCTAAAACATATGCTCCACTGTAAGCAGCAGGCTGCAAGATTTTGATCCAGGTTATCTCTTTCTCTGCATGACATCTGACATCTGTTTAAACAATCATTTCAGTTCCTCAAGGAATAAGCTTCACATCACTGCTGGTTGCTGGTTAGTATACAGTAGGACTTTTGAATTTATGTTTCAGGAAGATACATAATAAACTCTGAAGAGCACCTGTGTTTCTAGCATGTGACTTAACTGCAGAGAGGGTAAAGGGTAAATTGGGAAAGGGGCAAGTTTATTTTCCAGCTCTCTTTATGTGAAAATTTCTACCACAGCATTATAAATTATTGTGTCTATTGTTCATCTAGTCACTTGCAGAATTGTTAGTGAAACAAAAGAGTCTTTTGATCACTATACTGAAAGACTAGGGCAGTATGTTTCCCAACCTTGTAATTATTACTCTCTTTTTTCTCATTTTTCTGAATAAATAATTAGAATGCTAATATGTATCTGATCTGCAAATATGGCATACCAGCCATGGTCCAGAACAGTGTTAAACCTATTGATCTCAAGAGACTTAAGCATGCTTAACTTTCTGTTGAATTGTGTTTACTGAATCCAGAATACAGAATCTAGATTTCTGTATAATGATTTTCTTAAAAAATGAAGAGATTTTGTATAAGGAACAATATGCAACCTGTGACAAGCGGCAACTTTTTAGCATGTTGTTGTGGCACAAAGTATACATATGTGAGCATAGTATATTTGATACTCCACATTTGTGTTCATTATATTTCTTACATGGAAGTGATACTACATAGAGTGGCCCTCTCACAGTCTTGTATTTCCAGGATAATGTCTTTGTGCTACACAAATAGCTATAAATGCAGTCAGGCTATCTTCTGTTTTATATATCTGCTAGGCAACTTTTGAATTTAAATAATTTGTACGTGGTTTTTTAAAGTTGCCAGTTTCATGTATCCCATAACTATTTTTCTGATTTTACCATATAACCATCAGTTGTGACAGAACGTTTCCTGTGTTGTATCAATTTTCTTCCTCCCATATTATTTGGTACCAAATCTGTATGTTACAATATGTTACACAGGCTTTTAAACACTATTTTGGAATGATATTTGCAGTTAAATAGTCCCCTCTGCAGTTAATTATGGTGGGATAGGGGTGTGTGTGTGTGTCTGAAGTGCCTTCATGTCATTTCCAATTTATGGTGACCTTATGAATTAATGTCCTCCAAAATGTCCTATCATTAACAGCCTTGGTTAGATCTTGCAAACTGAGGGCTGTGGCTTCCTTGATCAAATCAATCCATCTCATGTTGGGTCTTCCTTTCCTGCTGCCTTCAATATTTCCTAGCATTATTTTTTTCCATTGGTCATTTTAGCTTCTAGGGAGAGTTCAGACTTGATTTGATCTAGAACCCACTGATTTGTCCTTTTGGTGGTCTAGGGTTGCCTGTTCTGGGTTGGAAAAGACCTGGATATTTTGGGGGTGGAGCCTGAGGAGGGTGGGGTTTGGGGAAGGGAGGGACTTCAGTGTGGTATAGTGCCACAAAGTCCATCTCCCAAAGTGGCCTTTTTCTCCAGGTGAACGGATCTTTGTTGCCAGAGATCAGTTGTAATAGAGGGAGATCTCCAACTGCCACCTGGAGGCTGGCAACCCGGTGGTGGACCACAGTATCAGTAAAACTCTCCTCTAACACAACATTTGACGTGAATCAACTTTCTTCCTATCAGCTTTCTTCATTGTCCAACTTTCACACCCATGTGTAGTAATGGGGAATACTATGGTGTGAATTATCTTGATCCTGTTCAACAGTGACACAGCGACACTTAAGAATTTTTTCCAGTACCTTCATGTCTTCACTTCTGAATCTCAGTCTCCTTCTGATTTCTTCATTGCCATCTCCCTTTTGGTTGATGACTGAGCCAAGGAATAGAAAATCTTCATTTCAATTTCTTCGTCGTCAACCTTAAAGTTATGTAATTCCCCAGTAGTCATTACTTTTGTCGTCTCAATGTTCAGCCATAATCAGCTTTTTTATGTAGGCTAATTTATTATGTTGATTGAGCTCTTTGATGTTTTTTATGACAAAGATGATAGTGAGGAACATATCTTCAGTTGCGTATGAAATTATGTGCTGTAATAGAATTTGTTCAGATCTATGTAATATTCAGAATTAATATTAGAGATTCCTTTCCAAAGTAAAAGATAGGGTTTTGATGAGAGCTAATCCACTTGAGTTAAATTTCAATTCATCCCACTTGTTCACTTGACGAACATCTAAATTGATTGCCTCAAGTTATAAGGGAGAAATGAGGCCAGTGCCACAACATGTTTGATTCTCCCTTATACCTTTTTTTTTAATATTCCAGGCACAGAGCTGATTATCCTTTTCTGTACTAGACACATTATGGGGGTGGGGGGAGAGAAATTCTATCTAAAACTTTCAGGATGAAATAATCTTAACTATATGGCCAATACAGGAATACAGTTTTCATAGGTTATGGGGTAACTAGATCATCTTTTACAAAGATGCTATAAAAACATGATGTCTTTTACATTTACACTGATTATTTGTGGTTCAAGAAGGATCATACATCATGTGGGGAACCTTTGATGGTGTTCTTTACATCCAGTCTTCTGGTACAGTGGCTTATTTTAATGACAAGTTACATATACTAGTTAGTAGATCAACAATTTTATTTGAGCTTTTTAAGAACTCTTTGGGTATATGCCATCAGGACCCAGAGACTTCCTGGTTTTTAATTTCCCCAATAAGTCTAAAAGTTCATCTCTTGTCACCTCAATTTGACTGAGTTCTTCAGACTCTCTTCTGAAAAAGACTGGCTCTGGCCTGGGTACAATGCCACACATTTTCCACAGTGAACACAGGTGCAAAGAATTCATTGAGCTTCGCTGTCACCTACCCATCTTCTTTTAGCATTCCTTTAATTCCTTGGTCAAAGGCCCAACTGCTTCTGTGGCTGATTTCCTTCTCTGGATAAATTTAAAGACATGCTTATTGTTTGTCTTGATGCTTTTAGCAATCCACTCCTCAAATTATATTTTTGAATGCCTAAATATTAACTTTCACTTATTTTGCGAGACTCTGACCCTTTCTGTTTGCTTCATTAGGGCAGACCTTCCACTTTTAAAAGAAGGCTTCTTTGCCTTTTATGACTTCCTTGATTTTAGTCATTAACCACACAGGCACCCTTTTTAGCTGGCAATACCTGGGTAATACATTATATCTGGTTCTCAGTTATGTGCAGCTTTCAATAGCTTCCAAGCGTCTTCTAGGGATTTGACTCTCTGATGTTTCCCTTACAGCTTCCTTCTAACTAGTCCCCTCATTTTTGTAAAGTTTCCTCTTTTGAAATAAAATGTTACAGTTTTGGACTTTAGAGGTAACTTTCAACGGAGAAGAAGAGGAGGAAGAAGAAGAGGAGGAGGAGGAGCAAGACAAGGAGGAGATTGGAGGAGGAGATTGGATGAGATTGGAATTATTCCCTGCCCTTCACTACCCAAAGGAGTCTCAGTGCAGTTTACAGTCTCCTTCCCCTCCCCACAACAGAGTATTTACATGATCATCCCTTTAGACTGACTCGTCCTGAGCTACAGGCCCCCCAGCTCCTTTTGGCTCCCCCCCCCCAGGATTAGTTTAAAAGCTGCTCGGACACCTTTTTGTTCTTGTGCCAGCAGTGTGGTTCCCTTTTGGTTCAAGTGAAGTCCATCTCTTTTGTACAGGTTTAGCTTGTCCCATAAAGTTCCCCAGTGCCTAGCAAATCTAAATCCTTCCTTCCAGCAGCACTTCCTCATCCATGCATTGAGACCCCTGCTCTGTGCCGGTCTAGCTGTCCCAGTGCATGGAACCACTAGCGCTTCTGAGAATGCTACCTTTGAGGTCCTGGCCTTGAACTTTCTGCATAGTAACCCAATTTTTTCCTCCAGGACCACACAACTTCATTTCCCATGGACTCTTATAGTAGGCCCCTGAAAGTCTCAACATAGCTCTCTCTCCCTCAGCCTTTCTAGGTTGGTTACCCTGGCCTCAAGCAAATGAACCTGTTCCCTGAGAACCAAGAGCCCACACATGGAGCACACCCAGTATTTCTGCCCAGTGGGCATGTAATCACACATGTGGCCCTCCCTGCAAAACACTTGATAGACCCCACTCCCTTGCTGGCTTTCTACCTACACAATTGGTATGGTTGTTTAGTCTCCCAGACAACTGAATCTTGGCACAGACGGAGACCATAGAAAGTGCAACATATGAGCCAGGGAGTCTGTCCATGGTTGTTCTTTTCTGGGGCTCCAACCTGTCGCCAGCCAGCTGGTCAGTGGGGAAGTCCTACCCTTGAACAGGCATGTCACCCTGGACATCCCTGTCACAATGACATCACCCAGAAATGACATCATCGTGTCGGGGATGTTGGGGGGTGACACTCTAGTTTTTGGGCAAACTCTATGGTTTTGAAGGCAAAAAAATATATAGTTTTGCCCAAAAACTAGAGTGGCACCCTCCAGCAACCCCAACACGATGATGTCACTTCCAGGCGATGTCACAGAGAAGAGGCAGAATTCCCCCACTGGCAGCTAGGTAGGACCTGGCAACTCTATCTTTACTCTTCAGCCTACTTGTGTTTTTACTGCCTCCAAATCCTTTTGGGGAAAAGAACCACTGAGTTGCCAACACACTCTGAAAAGGAAATAATTTCTCACTGAGAAAGTGTGCTCTAATATATTTCGGGCAACATCAAAGACTGTATCATGAAAAAGATATTTTGGGCTTTTTATATGATCCAGTCAGTGTCTGCA